CTGGCATTTGTTCTCAAAGTTAACTGCATCAAACTAACCCAGCTTTTATGCTGAAGGTTAACGTTTATGTTTACAGGTGAAGGGGCCACAGTGTTCAAGGTTAAAAGTGGTGCATCAGGACACAACCATGGCCTGAGGGACCTGTGCACTCAAAATTTATCATATTTTCAGTGTCCAAACCAACCAGAATTGCTTACATAGGTGCTGCACTGCACGTGGAAACAACCTTAAAATGGAAAGCAGCTGAATTTTAATTACATTTTTTTATTCGTGGAACTCTTTGATTATAACTCTTGAATCATGGTTTGTGTAGTTTGAACATAGCGTGGCAAAGAGCCTCCAAACTACAAAAAGTAAAACACACCTAAAAATGGCTTCTCTTGTATATGTGCCCACAAACCTTTGTTTAAAAAAATGCTAATCATATAACCTCAAAATGGATTGTTCTGTAATAAACTGTACTTATTCTGTACTTTTACTAAGTGTATTAATGTTATCATGCATGTAATTTTATGGATAACATACTAAGACCACAAACAAATTCATTAGGAAAAACGATATACAGCTAACAGTTACTAATCACTGATTTCTATAAAGTGATAAATATAAAGTTCACATCTGTCCACAGCGACAGCGTTCAAACTCATCAATGGAAGATTTCAGTGCCAAAGACTCACCAGAAGCTTTGCTTACAGTACACTTAACAGTACACACTTTCTGCCTTTAAAAGGGTGTAGATGGCTTTTTTCACTTCAGCCTTTGAGTTTAGGTCAGTGGACTTAAAAGTAAATGACAAACTGTACAAATATGTAGGTTACATTGCATCGTGTATATTCAGAAATTTCTTAAGAGAGTCGTCTTGTTTTTTAACTGTTCTATGAAAACACAGGTCATGGCACATGTCTGGCTGTATGGATTCTGCTGGTCTACACCAGCAGCTGCTGTGTTGCAATTTGGCAGCACTTTAGTGACAGCTCACAGACAAACACGTCCATTTCCACACTATTTTCTTTCACGGTAATAAAACCATTGCAAGTGGCAGATATTTTGACTTCTCACAGCAGGAAAAGGACTAGTGCTAAAACATCTAAGTGGAGTCCAGCTGTTACTTCTCTTAATTGTACCTTTTCTCAACATGCCAAAGTGTCTTCTGTGAGAAAAGAAAATCGGCTTTCTCTTTTTGTTGCAGCTGTCCATCCTCTAATGCTAAGAATTTTAAATTTAAGAAATAAAATGCAACATAAAGTATATATATTTATCACTCACTGATGGAGATGTCAACTGAGATAACACTTCAAGTGGTAGCTGAGCACATGATATGGGGTCAAGATTCAAGATTCTTTATTTATCACAGGCAGAGTTATACGAGTACAACACCCAGTGACATGTGTCCTGAAACGCCCCTCGACTGTGCAATAAGACAACATTATATACAGTAAGTGAATATGTACAAGCAGGACATTATGTGCAGTAAGTGAGTGAATTATATACGTTAAGCAAATTTAAATAAAATAAAAAATAAAATAAAACAATCTGGAAATTTAAGTTGAAAAACTGAGAATACCATTTAACATCTCAAAGAAGAAGGCCAAGATAAGCGATAAAAATGGAAACAAATTTGACATCACTTTATATAAAATATATTCACAAGATCATTCGCTATATATATGCAAGTTTCATTCTTTAGATATATATATCTGGAAAAGTAGACGCTTTTGTAACCATTTGTAAAATATGGAGGTACTTGTGTTGTGTTATAATTTTTCTGGCCAGTGAGCTGTATGGTCTTCCAGCATGCTGCATGTCACTGCTGGATCAAAAACTTGTGATGCAAGAGTTAGATCAGAGATCTACCCAGACACCCACACCCTCCTCACTGTGTCCCCATTTGAATCCAATGGGAATATGATGAAATATGTCCTATCCCGCCTTTTGATACATGTCGAGCCTCTTTCACTGAAGCTTGAGAGAATAGTTGGGACTATGCTTTATGGAGCAGTGGAACTGCAGCTTCCACTGCTGGGCGTTTTGGCAGCTGTCTGCAGTGTAGTAAAAGGAAGGTGGCAGGAAGTTTTTTTTGTTATCCATGACAGGAACCCACTCCTTCAGGTTCACCCCACCTCTACACTGCAGGGAGGAGGAGGTTGTCTCTCTGTCTCTAAAGCTGATGTGTAGACTTCACAGCATGTCAGTGCATTCATTTATTTCACATGTGCATGAATGACCTGGATAACAAGTACAGGTGGCAATGCTTCTCTAGTATACATAAATAAGACAAATAAGGTGTTGATTCACCCAGCCTAAGTGCATTTCTTAGAAGCGACATATAAATTCGCTTGCATTCATCCTACAAACATAATGGATGTGACAAAAGCTCGTAGTAAGGGAGGCCTACTCGACAGCTGTGATTTCCTCTCCATGTCCCCTGTGGCATTTTGCATGTTTAGAAGAAACAAATCTGTATCTTTCAACCAGTAAGCTGACCATTTTCATAAAGCCTTCTAATATATGCAGCACGGCTGTGTTGTTAATCTCAGCCTGTCTTTGTGAGTTTGATGGAAATGCAGATTTACTGTACGGGCTCATTTTATGGTCATCAGCGTTAAGCCGGATGATTTGCATTAGCAACCGCTGCATGTTTTTCTTGGCCTTCATGCATTAATTAAAGTGCAATTTGTGGTGTGTTTTCACGTGGTTGAATAAGTTAGTTGTGCTGCTTTGCAGTGTAGACACAACTCTGCAGCACATTTTGCACATGATTTCATCTTAGTTAACATCACTTTTGCTAAATCTGAAGTGTTTCTAAAACGATGATGATTTCCTTTCAGGGGAAAGCTCTTTTATCTACAGCTGTGCCAGATATTTAAATGTTGTTGTATATTTGTCTTTAACATATTTTACTTGTTCAGAATGATCTAGTAATAGGCTAGGTTTGTAGCCTCAGTAACTAACCTAACTAATTACTATTTCTATCGTTACAACGTTGTTACCGTTACTAACAAGAAAATGCAGTGCAGAGGTGTTACTATTTTAAACACACATACGGTTGAACCTGTCTTCAGCTTATCAGGAAGGCAAAGCAAAAGAAACAGTTACACAAGTGCTGCTGATTGGCTGAGGAAGAATAAAGTACTTGTGGTAAACCAATCACATGACCATTTTAAGATGACATAGCAAAAAGATTCTATGTCATCGCAAGACAAACCTGATTCTCAAACTTTGTGTTTAAAGTGTGGACTTAAACTATATACTACTTTTTAAATTGTAGTGAGAGCCCACATCAAACCAGAGTTAAGATAAAAACTATACATGATGTTTTTTACTGAATGCATCGTTATGTTTACTGCAGGAAGAAACGGTAAAAACAGCATCTTCTAAGGCAGAGGTTCCCAAAGTGTGAGGTTCGCCCCTAGGGGGGCGCAGAGCCATTGCAGGTTTTTGACAGGGCTCCCACACAAATCAAGCAAGCAGGAGATGAAGCATCGTCAAATATGTTTTCAAACCAACTTCATTCTAAGCCGAAGACTAGAAAATATGGTGAAGCATATTCCCTTTGGTTTCACCTGCACAAGTGCCGAGGTAGGTCTCCCTGCAGAATTGGTTTTCCCTACGTCGGGAAGCAGAGCTGGGCTCCCCAAATCACGGACAAACAGGATCCCACATTCTTGATTTTTAGTTCACAAACACTTGTTGTAATGACTAACTACTCCTGACATTTTGGAGATGTTTGCTCTTTATACAGTAAAGTTAAAGTGGGACACAAATAATATCAGGCTGATCCTGCCACGATTTGTTCCCCGGTTCAAATCCCAGGCAAACAGGATCCCACAGCTGTTTATGTTTTTAAACCTATTTTGCACAGAGAGGCATTTTTTGAAAAATGTATTGATTGCAATGTTGAATATTATTACACAGGAAAAAAACAACTACATGTAAAATAATTACACCATAACGCCTCTGCCTTTCTAAATGAAGGGACAGTAACTGCGGGTGTGTATGTAAGCGTGTAAAAACTGAGAGTAAAATTAACAGTATTTTGTCTCTATCTGCCATTGTAGAAATTCTCATGTAAACAATAACGTCGTGCACAGCATGACGTGAAAAAAGGCACATACCTTTGACGTTGCGCCATGAACTCTGTATTCCTCATCCACACATAAACGCAAAAAAGGAGTTTTAAAGAATATCAGTTTTCGGTGATTTGAAACGCCGTTTACGTGTGGACGAAAGGCCCAAACGCATAGAAACAGCTGCGTTTTCAAAAGTACCCCTGTAGGTGTGGACATAGCGTAAAAGAGTTGTAGTGTATTTTATTACTACATGTAATTTATTGCAGTTTACTCTTATGTGTTTAATTGTTTAATAAATGTTTGAGGTGTGAAATAAACCGTGATGGAGTTCTGCACTTCTGCATAGGTTTTTTTTTTTTTTAAATTTGCAGTTTATGTTTGCATTTCAAGTTATGAAATATGATTCGTTAAACATGTTTGTGGTTGTTACAGTAAAAAATATAATTGTTTTCTACTTGAATTTTATATTTTTTTTGTCTGATTTTAGATCAATATGTCAAAATGACAAAATAACAGTGAATTCAGACGTGAGGTTGTGCTGAAAAGAATGATATGAGCTCCTCTGGACCCCAGAGGGTTAAGCATTTTTTTCAAAGTAATGCAATAGTTACTTTTCCTAGTAATTAGTTACTTTTATAATATTGTAAGTCAGTTACTAACTCAGTTATTTTTTTGAAGAAGTAACTATAACTAATTACTTTTCCAAAGTAACTTGCCCAACACTGCTTGTGAGTTGATGCTCAAGTACAGTGTTCTCTTATAGGAAAAGCTAGCGAAACAGGCACTGCAGCAGAAGCAACAGTGTTTTTCACTCTTTTTTTCACTTTGTTTACTGAAAGTGCTTTCTCTGTTACTAAACAAACAGACTGACTTGATAGCTGTTGACTTTGTTGTCCTCAATGTCTCTCTTGTCTGTGTCTTTTTCTCTAGTTTGGCCGGACAGAAGTGATCGATAACACACTGAACCCTGACTTTGTTAGGAAGTTTGTCCTTGATTTCTTCTTTGAGGAAAAGCAGAACCTTCGCTTTGATGTGTAAGTAGAAATGTCTCTGTCTTTTCTTTCTACAATGCCACTGTCTGTTTTCCTTTGTTATCACAGGGACTGAATCAACCCTACTATTAGTTTGGCCTTCTGACTCATACCCACTAGATTTAGAAGCTCGCAGTCATTTAATGACTCATCAAATTGTTAAGCGGCAGTGATTTGGCAGGGTAAAAAGTTTTACATGCCTTTGGGTGACAGCCTTCTTCACACTTTTGACAATTATTATTAAAAGTTTTATTATCACTGTCTGAGTATTAACAAACAGTTAATAAAATAAATAAATAAATACATACATACATATAATTGCATGGTTTACCTATACATATAGTGGATAATTATGTCCCTGATGTGTGATGACTATGTTTACCATCTCAATTTATTATAACAGGCAGTTTTGCTATTGTATTTTGAGATTTTGGTTCATTTTAGAAATCACTTTTATAGTGACATATACAAAAATGAAAATACTCAAAGATTTTGTAGTGGTGTACAGCTGCTACAAATGTTGTTTTACCATTTACATGCTGTTCTGGGTGAAATTGGATCTCTATCTGGTGTATCAGGTGCATTTTGGATCTATCACTGTGGGTCAAATAGAGAATGGTGATTTATGGAATTGTTAAACTGTGAATCTGTACATGACATGCCTGTATGCATTTCTTCCACTGAGGCGGGGTATAGGGTACTCTCAATACTGTCACGACAACTGTCTGTGTTCCCCTCACTTTTGCCGAGGTTCTCTTGGGGGCGTCCTAAACAGTATAATAGTAACATAGCTGGTACTAATCCCAAAGTCAAGAAGAGAAGAGCTGCAGCCCAAGTTGATGATCTCAACCTTACATAGCTATTAGATGTAAACATTGTTCAGTGTAAACATTGGATACTATTACATAATATCCTGTTTTTCTCAAGTATAATTAAGTCATGAAAGTCAAGTCATAATGTTTAAAAAGGACAACCAGTCTCTCGGGGCATCGAGCTTAGGTCCTCCGATCTCCATGTCAAAATAACCTTGGGCAAGATACTGACTGTCCCCAGTGCATCCACTGGAGTGCGAATGTGTGCATAATAATTAGAAAGTGCTTAAGGACAGAATAAAATTCTGTATGATTGCAAATAAAACTAAGATTAAGATGAATTTCATTTCATTTACTCAACTTGGACCTGCTACTCTTCTCTCTCTCTCTCTCTCTCTGCGTGTGACTAGTCGAATAGCTGACTAATTATCACTGTTATCAATAGTCTGTACCAGCCTTACTAGTTGTTTAGTCTAGTAAAATTTTAATTGATGCGTAATGCTGGTAACTTGAGTTCAAAATGCCTCAATGCCACCAGATGGTGCATCGTTGTTAAGAAATGCCATAAATGCATTAATCAAGGTTTCATCTGTTTGCTAAAATTGGACTGAGGTCACGGATACAAATGGCGGAAATTAGTTTTCTCTGAAAGGTGGAAGGATTATCCCTTAGGGATACAGTTCAGTCATTATCGACAGGCTAGAGTACAGGCATTTCAAGATCCATGTGTGCCTCACATGGGTCCTCACTGGTGCATCAAACTCTTCATGCTTGAAACTTTCTTGGATGTCTGCTACTGTAATGGTTACCAGAGCTTGTTCAGGGAGGTTGCTGTGGTCTGCTCTTGGATCCACTAGCCACTGAGCATTGTTGTTATGGGCTGCATCCTTCTCCCATATGCTCTTTCGATATTGCTCTGTCCCCAGCCTTGGTGGGGCTCTTGTCGTATTGTTCCCCTGTCACTGAGTGTACACCTATCTGTCTGGTATACCTTTTCAGGTGGCTAGCTAAGGCAGTTTTCAAGGCCTCAGGTATGGCAGCTTGCTGTACCTCTTAGGGATCCCTGTCTTCATCACACCTTTCTGCAGCTACAATAGTTGGCTACCTTCCCTTCCTGTTGCCTTAATCTTGACCTCTAGCCTCTTTCTCCATTTTCTCCATGGCGGTTAGTGCTCTTCGTGGCTGAAGTATCAATTCTTTTTCCATGTGGGCACATTCACGCTTTGGATATTCATTGGAACAAGTCCAGAAGTGTTTGGATAATGGCCTCTGGTTGTGGCTGTCGTGAATCCTTGGTCTCTGGACAACACATTTATCCAGCTTCTATCCACTCCACTGCCCAGTGCTATACTCCTTACAGTTCATGCTGTAAATCACCCTTTAGGGGCAAAACAAAAACAAAACAAAACAGGAGCGCCAGAAGGCCAAAAGACAAAAAGGAAAAACAAAACACAAGACCCAACCCAAGAAAACCAATGAAACGAAACACACCACAGCCCAAGAAAAACGGAGTCCAAAACAGAAAGGTCCAGGGGGCCGGCAGCACAGGAGTCCAAACAGAAGGTCCAGGGGAGCCAGATCCAGTTCAGGGCCAACCGTGGCCAACGGCGGCGACGTGGATACAGTTCGGGAGGCCGGCCGTGCGGACGGCAACGGTGGCCACTCAGGCGACGGCGGTCCGGGGACCGGCCGTGCGGAAGGCAGCGGCGGCAACGAAGGAGACCACGGAGCAGTTCAGGGGGCCGACCCCGATGGCGGTGACGTCCAGCAGGTGGCCCGGAAAATGGCCGGCGATATCGAGGTGCAGAACGAGGCTTGGGCGGCGGCATAACAGCCGCAGGACCAGGCGTAGCAGAAGCAGAGGCCGGACCAGGCGTAGCAGAAGCAGAGGCCGGACCAGACGAGGATGAAGACTCTGATGAGGCCGGACCAGACGAGGATGAAGACTCTGATGAGGCCGGACCAGGCGAAGCACAGGCTGAAGCTGGACCAGGCGAGGATGAAGACTCGGATGAAGCTGGACCAGACGACGACGAAGACTCGGATGAAGCTGGACCAGGTGACGACGAGGCGGCCGCAGGTGGCGGCTGGACAGGCTCCTCGGGCCCTCCAGCTGACGCGGCGTGAGGCTGAACGGGCCCTCGGACCTCCAGCGGAGACAGGAGGCTGAACGGGCCCCTCGGACCCTCCAGCGGAGACAGGAGGCCGAACGGGCCCCTCGGACCCTCCAGCGGAGACAGGAGGCCGAACGGGCCCTCGGACCCTCCAGCCGACGAGGCATGAGGCTGGTGTGGTTCTCCGGAACCACCAGCTGACAAGGAAGGCTGCTGGACGGGCTCCTCGGGCCCCCAGCTGAAACAGGAGACAAAGGCCGGAGCGGTCCCTTGGACCCTCCAGCGGAAACAGGAAACAAAGGCCGAAGCGGTCCGTCGGACCCTCCAGCGGAGACACGAGACGAAGGCCGGAGCGGTCCCTCGGACCCTCCAGCGGAGACACGAGACGAAGGCTGGACGGGCCCCTTGGACCCTCCAGCAGAAGCCATCACAAAGCCAGCAGGCATGGAGTCCACTGGCAGACATGAAGGAAATGGGTGCTGTGCTGAGCACTGGCCCTGCTCAGACAACACTGACACGGGGCACTTCCCAGGTGGCTGCTTAAACTCCAGGGGTCCAGAATCAGCTGAGGACTGGGATCTAGCCTCTGGGGAAGCCCTGGAGCGGCAAACAGTGCCAATGGCGGCTGAACCATGAAAAGCACCTTGAGTAGGACTTAGGCTTTCTCCCTGCATGGAGTGAACGAGTGGAACCAGTAATGCTGGAGCCAGAGCTACTGGGGCCTGCGCTACAGGCGGCACTGGAGCTACTGGGGCCTGCGCTACAGGCGGCACTGGAGACCGAGCTGAGGGTGGCACCGGAGACTGAGCTGAGGGTGGCACCGGAGACTGAGCTGAGGGTGGCACTGGAGACTGAGCTGAGGGTGGCACTGGAGACTGAGCTGAGGGTGGCTGCGGGGGAGCTAACTGGGCTGAGAGTGGCTGCGGGGGAGCTAACTGGGCTGAGAGTGGCTGCGGGGAGCTAACTGTGCTGAGAGTGGCTGCGGGGGAGGTGATATGCTGTTCACAAAGTCATCTGCCGCACAGAACACCGCCCCTGAATGAACAGTCATACAGTCCGCAAATGGAAAACAGTCCTCACTCACCACAGCCGGCGAATTAGAAGTCCGAACGTCCAGCTGTGGGGTGGCGCGCTTGCGGCGCGATCGGCGTTTCCTCCCCGCAGACGGCTCCGACGGGCCGGGCAAGATCGCATCCGGCGAGTCGGGCAGCGAGGCGGAGTGGCTGAGAGAAGGTGGGGTGTGTGCCGGAGAAAAGCCTGCATGGTCGGAGGAAGTGAATTTAGTAGCCATGGCAGGCCAGAAAAGAGCCGTTGTAGCCGACCTTCCATGGCGCGGCGAAGCTCGTACGGAGGATTCTCCAGCCACAGCCCGAGGAGGATCTCCACATTGTAGCCGATGTCATCCTGGAGCTCCTCGGACAGATTGACTGCCGCTGGGTCCATGGTGGCTGGTTCGTTCTGTCACGGTTTGCGGGGCAAGCCGTGTGGAGTTGAAATAGGACCCAAAATGCAGCAGCTCTGGTGCAGATGAGTGTTTATTTGACAACCGAAAATACAAACAGCAACGGTGTGGGTACCATGAAACAGGAAAACCTAAACTGGGTAGAACTAATAACACAAACCAGAAACGAGGATGCAGGGAGGTCCGGGGAAATACATACGGGAAGACGCAGGGAGACCGAGGGGAAACAACACAGACGAACCAGCAACTACCATGACAGAAGACACAACTTAAATACAATCAGAGAACACAAGGAGATTACACACAGGTGGGGAACACAGGTGACACTGATAAACATAACAAGACAGGGCAGGAGTGAACACAACATGACGCATACTGACGAGAGACTGTCAAAGTAAAACAGGAAGTACACAGAGGTTCAGACAGGAGGAGAGAGAGCACGGGGAGAACACAGACATAACAGGCTGGGGGAAACATGGACTAAACACAAAGAGAGACGAGAGCTCATAAATACACAGAGGGGCACAAAGGGGGTAAGAGTCACAAAGGGAAAACACTTAGGGAACACCACAACAGGACACCTCAGAAAACATGGCCTAAATAAGGAGCGAAAAT